CGGAGCGGGTCCCCGCAGCCCCCCGCGCCCCTTACCCGCACCTCCCCGCACCGCGCCGCAGCCATGGCCCCGGGCTCGCCCGCCGCTCGCCGCCGCGCCGCCCCGCGCCTGCTGGCCGCGCTCCTGGGTAAGGGGCGCGGGGGGCTGCGGGGACCCGCTCCGCGCCCCGGGGACCGCCCTCGTCCTGCCCCCTCCCCCGGCTCCCGGCGGGGACCTCGTCCCGGGCACCCGAGGCGGGGGGACCCCTCTCCGCGCCCCCCGCCCGCCGCGCCCGCGGGGATGCCGCCCGCGGGCGATAACGCCGCTCTCCGCTCTGCAGACGGACGGTCCGGGGGATAAGTCACTCGGCCAAGGTGACTTCGCAGCCGAGCCCGAGCTCCGAAGTCCCGGCTCCGGCCCCTGCCCTGCCCGCACCAGCGCTCCCGCGGCCGGCGCTTCTCCTGCGAGCACTGCGGCTGCAACCCCGCTTTGCCCCGCTCCTGCGCTGCCCGTGACCGGGGGATGGCCGGGGGAGGCCATGCACTGCTTCAGCGCCAGCACGCCCGCCGACAGGTCATTGTCTCAACAGTTCATTTTGTACGACAACCATTCGCATGCGCTTGGCCCCCGGCGCGGGGACGGACCCCGCGCTGCAGGGGCCGCTGCTTCAGAGCATGATGCCCAGCCCTGTGCCCGGGGATGCCCGAGATTCCCCCGCCACAGGGTTCGGGGAGGTGCGCGCAGCCTCCCCTCCCCACTGCACACCTGGGGCTGGTTCCAGCCTCCCGCATCAGCCTCACGCACCCGCTGCACTCCTGCTCCCGCGGGTCATCCTCATGCCAGCCTGGAAACAAGGGCTGGATGTGCAGTGCTTGCTACTGGGAAACTCCCTTGGGAAGCGTGTTAGAGGGCATAGTTCTTGAGTTTAAGGGAGCTGGAGACGCAGAAAAGGCATGTAAGTACCTGACTCCCTGCAGGATTTGGGTGGCAGCGCCTGGCGCCTCCTCAGACAGGTGCAGTGCAAGCTGCTCTGGGCATGGGGCTGGCACTGGGGTGCAAGGAGAGACTTGGAGATGCTGGAGACCACTCAGGGATCTGGGGTTCGGAGTGTGGAGGTGTGAACCCCGTCGCTCAGGTGGGCTGGGAGCTGGGAAGGGAGGTGGGGAGTGCTGGGCAGGTCTGTGTGTGGGTCTCAGGAATGCCGTGCTCCTCAGGGAGTGGCAGCGAGCTCCTGGCTGCACCAGGGAGCCACAGCATGGCCCCTTCCATTGGTCCCAGCCCCACAGGAAGGGCGAGGGCCATGTGTCCTGTCCCACAGCATGTCACACCTGGGCTCCAGCTGGCCTGGGAGCTCCTTCCTTGAATCCCTCTGGAGAGGAACCTGGCCAGCCCGCCAGGCATGGCTTGTGCCTGTGCCAGGAGGTCACGCTGGCTGCTCGGGGCAGTGAAAGTTTTTGCAGAGCAGCTTTTCCACAGATGGTGGTCCTGGGTGAGCACATTGTTCAGTGGCTCTGGGACCCCTCACCAGGGCCTCACCCACTACGAGAGCAAAGAGCAGGCAGCCAAGGCAGGAGTGGCTGCTCCCTGCTTCCCTTTGGCTATCTCTTAGAGAATGCTGGTGCCTGCAGTCATAGAGGGAGCCTGGAGCCCCCGGGGGTGGAGGGGGTGGCCCTGTACACTGAAGGCTGGGGTTCTGGTGGTGCAAAGTGCAGCAGATTTGGGCATATGGAAAAGTAACACTGGCAGCTGGTGTGTGGCAGGTTCAGTCAGTGATCTCCCAGCGTGTTTTCCTCTGTGCTTTATTTAGTGGTAACATATCAATTTTGTCTTCCTGAGACCACAGCGTGACAGGAACAAGGTCAGCCTCAATTTACCCCACACATTCAATTCAGATTATGTTCATGACGTTCTAACAGTGGCAGACAGGATTAAAAGTGTTACAAGCTGCAAGGAATCATCTTTCCTGTAAGTAAGTGTCCGCCTGCAGCACCTTGCCAGCTCAGACACACCTGCAGAGACAGGCATCCCTCTGCCAATTCCCACTCCAGGCAGCAGCATTATTCCCCCCGGGGCACTCCTGCCTGTGAAGTCCCCTCTGTAGCATCCCCGGGGCTGGCCTTTGAGCCTGGAAGCTGCAGGAGATTCCATCTGGTGGGGAGCCACTCCCTGACGTTTGCCACGGCCTGTCGAGCGAAGCGAGGAGTGCTTGTGTGTAAAGTTAAATAACTCCTTCCCTGCAGTGCTTGCAATGCAGCACTGCAGCAGGGCCCGGAGCCCAGGATGCAGGGCTCTCGGGCTTGGCTCTGGCTGCGACGTGCCTGGGGAGTTGTTAGCACCGGCATGTGTGGGAGAATAAATCAGCAGCTGAGGCGGCTGCAGAGAGATGGGAATCTGAGGCTGAGGGCGGCGTGTCCGAGTTACGGTGTTGGAAGAGCCGGGGATGGGCTTGTAGCTGTGGAAAGGGCTGTGTCCCCCCTGGCTTTGGTGTCAGAGTGCCCAGGGAAAGCTCCACAGGGGTGGCTGAGGTCTGGGCAAGGGGAGGACGATGCTTTGCTGGGCTGTGTCACATCTCAGCCACACCACATCACACAAACGGGACAGGGACAGGGTGTGGTGGGGATGGGGAGCGGCGCTGCTCCTCTGGCCAGGAGCAAAGCATCCCTGTGCCCCCGGAAAGGATCTGTGTGGACACTGCCTGGTGCACAGGGGTGTGATGCCAGTCCCTGTGTGACACCTCGCAAGCTCAGAGCTGCAGCTGGGCTCCTACCTGCTCCTTGGTGCCTCTCCCCCTGCCTATGGGGAGGCGAGGAGCAGGAGAGCTGCATTCTGCAGTTTGAAGGTCATCTGCCAGCTCCAGAGGGAGCCGAGGCTCCCGGCTCCCAGGAGTGAGGGTGCTGCTCCGGAGGGTCACCCAGAGCCGTGCAGAGCTGCGGGAGGGACGGCGGGTGGCAGGCGGCCAGGACAGCGGCGCTAATTACTGCTCCAGCTCCTGCCTGAAGAACAGAGCTCTGCTTTGCTTTGGCTTTTTTCCTCCCCCTTTAAGGTTCAGCTGAAGGCCTGTGGATAACATGCAAATCAGGGCTTTCATTTGTGCACTTCACTCGTGGTGATATTATGGTTCCCTTTGAGCCCTGTGGGTGCCAGCCAGCCCCGGGTCCTCCAGGAGCAGGTCCCCTCTCTCACTGAGCCACCCTGGTGCTGGGGACAGGCACCTTCGCTCCTGCCACAGCAGCCTGCCCTGCCAAAGGGGACGAGGGGTGACAAACCAGTGCCCTCACTCTCTCCTCCCCTCTCCCTGCCAGGTTTGCACGTCTTGGCCATCGCCTTCGCCTTGGAGGTGTCGGTGGGGAAGACCAACACTGTGATGGCTCTGAATAACTCCAACGTCCTGCTGCCCTGCATCTTCACCACCTGCATAGGCTTCCAGGACCTGGTCTTCACGTGGTATTTCAACTCAACAGAGCTGGTGGGTGGCTCTCCTGGCTTTGCCTCTCCTTTCCTGGCAGGTCCTTTTGTGCTTCCCTGGTGCAGACCAGCACTGTAGTTCTCAAAGCTCCCTTTCTCCTCGTGCAGGATGCCCATCTCTCCAAGTGTCACCAGCTCTGGGGGGGACAAGGCTGTGCAAACAGGCTGACTCAAATACCCCAGCACGTCTGTGCTTTTGGCACAAAGCTGTTCTACATTTGCTGCTGCCCACAGGCTCATTTATTTTCATACATTAGCTGTTCAGGTGCAGGTCTGCAGTTTGGGCAAAATATGGTTAATTTTCTCCTCCTTCACTTGCTCTGTAATACTAAAGCTTCTGTACAGATTTGTTTCCTGCTGGGAATATTCAGCTCCTCAACTCCTTAGCAGGAGGGCTGGTTTGGAGCAGCTCTGGCCAGCAAAAGGGCTCTCTCTGCCAGGGTTTCCCCCATGTTTTAGATGCTCTGCACCATCGCTGCAGAGCAGGTCAGATTAATCTGCTGTCTCCCAGTAGGATTTGCAGCAGGTCCCCCTCCACAGCCACTCCTGCTTTAATGGGGTGTCCTGGGACTGTGCGTGTCTGTGTGTTCAGAGCTGGGGCAGGACATCCCCAGGAGAACTCCAGCCTTTCCCAGGAGCCCAGCTGACCCCACGCCCTGCACCCCTGCAGATTTACCAAGGCAAGATAAAGAACAAGGCCACGGAGCCCACCCTGGTGTCTCGCAACCCGCGGGTCGACTTCGTGGGCTCGACCACCAAGAAGGACTACAACATCTCCATCGTCCTGAACAATGTGGAGTTCAGCGACGCCGGCAAGTACACCTGCCACGTCAAGAACCCCCTGGAGAGGAATGCACAGCACAATGCCACCATCTTCCTCACCGTGGTGCACAAGAGTGAGTGCTGGCCAGGGCTCCCCAGAGTGGCACTGGGGTGGTGGAGATGCCAACCTCTGCTGACCCCCTCCTTGGCTCACCGTTGTGGGGTGTCTTGGAGGTGGCTGGCATCCCTGAAGGGCAGGGCTCATGCCCCTCTGTGCTGTCGTGGAAGGGGTAGCTGCCTTTTTGGGGTGGGACTTGCAGCTGGGAGCTCCCCACTCCCTTCCCGAGCACCTCAGCACCTTCTCTCCTGCAGTGGTGGAGACAGACAACACTGTGACGCTCATCATCGTGGGTGTTGTAGGGGGGCTCATCGGCCTCCTCATCCTCTTCATGCTCATCAAGAGGGTTGTGCTGTTCATCATCAAGAAGACCCAGGATGGGAAGTGAGTGTGGGGGTGCTGCCGTGAGCCAGGCCTGGGGTGAGAGGGGTCAGGAGGGGCCAGGGGCTGTCAGCTGGCCGTGTGATTTTCCCACAGGAAGGAATGCCTGGTGAGCTCGTCAGGGAACGACAACACCGAGAACGGCCTGGCAGGCTCCAAGGCGGAACAAAAAGCACCACCAAAGGCATGAAGCAGCAGTGCCCCGAGCCCAGCCCACCCCGCGGGGGGAGCATGGGCAGGGGACGAGCCTTTCCCTTTTGTTTTCTTTCCGAACTGCCAACGCTTGAGACATGTTTTTCTTACACACGTGCCTGCAACCTGCACTGCTTCTCGGAGAAGGCTTCGGCTGCCACGGGGACTGGGAGCTTCTCGCACGCTCGGACTGGGAGGCTGCTGGGGCAGAGGGAGCCGCCTGCTCCGCTCTGAGCCAAGGCAAGAGGGCAGGCAGGGAAGGGCCCGGGGGCTGGGGGTGCCCTGGTCTGCAGCTGGGCAGCTGCTGTGCCTGGGGGTGCCAGGAGGTGGGACACTGTGGGTCCCAGTGTTCCTGCAGGGTAGAGGCTGCGAGGAGTGGGGGGTGTCTCGCTGGAGGCTGGGGGGGCTGGGAGCTGCCTGCTTCATCCAGAAGGTTTCTGGAGTGGAGCAAGGATGCACAGAGCTGGCTGTAGAGATGGAGTCTCCTGCTGCTGCTGCATCTCCCATGGGTCCAGCACAGGATGGGAGGAAACAGGGCTGTTGTGGCGGGGCTTGGCTTCAGCTCCCCTGTTAAGCATTCGAGAAACAAATCGCTGAGAGGCCCTTTGCTGTGCCTCAGGTCCTCCCACAGCAGGGCTGGGGGGAGCAGTGGCTGGGTCTGGCTGTGTCCTGGGGTCACTACTGGCCCACGATGGGGTGAAGTGTCACATTTCACACTGGCTTTGCCCCCGTGCAGGGCCATCCCTGGGGGCAGCAGGGGCTTCTCCCCAGGCAGCCGTGCTGGGAGCACTCCCTGGGTTTGTGCTGTCCCCCTCCCCTATTTCTGAAGCTCAGCACTCAGAGCAGCCATGCTCTTGATGCTGATGCCAAGGCTGGACTCGTTACGTGGAAATTTTTATATAAGACTCCAGTGGGAAAGCAGCCGATTGTGTTGCCCTTTCACCCAAGGAAAACTGTGGCATCCATCTGCCACGCAGGGAGGGGGCACAGTCGGGCCCTGGTGAGGGGGGCCGGGCCAGGGCTGTGCCACCGGCCCACTGGGCAACCTTGGGCAAGTTGCTCTGCCTCTCCATGCCTCAGTTTCCCCATCTGTAAAATGGGGATAATAATATTGCTCTACCTCACGGGGTGGTTGTGAGGCTTCCGTGGCTAACGTTGAGACCCTGGGATGAGAGGAGCCACAGAAAGCCAGAGGGTCTTTGTCAGTGGACTCAGGCAACCCAGCCCCCTTCCCAAGGGTGTGAGACACGAAGTGAATGAGCTGATTCTACAGCTGAGATTGACCATGTCCTTTACAGTGTGATTTGTTCCCTGTTTCTCCTATTTGTGGGTGTCTGACAGTGAAGCTGCAGGACAGGCAGCTCCCCATCCCCACTCTAATTTGGGTATCACAGCTGAGCCATGACTTCCCTGGCTGCAGGGGCTTGTGCCCTGACAGAGGTGCCAGAGTGGGAGGCAGGCGAGGATTTGGTGAGCCAAGCAAGAAAGGAAAGGCTGGAGATGGTGATGTGGAAGGCAACTCGGAGCCTTTGCCAGGTGCACAGCAAGCTGACCACCCCAGGCTGGGCTCAGTGGCACCCACTGGAGCAGGGTCATGTGCTGGGAGAGGGGACAGGTAGTGGCACCTGGCCCCCAGCAGGTTCCCTTGGCTGCTGGTCGGATGTGGGAGTCGGGATCCTGGTCCCCTCCCTAAGGGTCTGTGGGACCCTCAGGCAAGTCAGTTCTCTGTGCTTCAGGTTCCCCATCTGTGAATGGGGGGCAGTGAGCCTGAGCTCCCTCCTGGGAGGTGTGAGGTCAGGTGCCCTGCGTGGCTGTGCCATGGTCCCGGGGTGGAGGGCACTCTGATGCCCGGTGTTGTGACCTGGGGTGGAGGGTGCTCTGATGCCCGGTGTTGTGACCTGGGGTGGAGGGCACTCTGATGCCTGGCACTGTGACCTGGGGTGGAGGGCACTCTGATGCCTGGCACTGTGACCTGCCACTGCCATGTGTGCCAGCCCGGGAGGAGGTGTGAGACCTCCCAGTCACCCCGAGAGAACCCCCGGCCCGTCCTTGGAGGAGCCCTCCCGTGGGAGAGGACAGCAAGGGGAGGGAGGGAGGGAGGGAGTTTTTTTAAAGAACTATTTTTAGCTGTCCTAACCTGTTGGCCTTTTTTAGCCGGTGTGTGTGGACGCAGCTCCACTTCCTGCCGGATATGCAATGCTGCACTATGCATGGATTACTCCTCTGGCTTGATGGAAAAAGTCCACATAAGCAGTTTTTGGGAATGTAACTCCATATGCACACGGGTGCTGCACGCAGAGCAGGGGCCCCGGGGGAGCGGGCTGTCTCGGGGGCTTGTGCCAGCACCAGCAGGGTCCCTGCTCTCCCTGGGGCTTTGGGGGGTCTGCAGAGGTGTTCCAGGGCACACTGGGGGTGTGTGCTGCCACAGACATGTGTGTGTATGAGCATATGTAAATCTGCGTGGGAGACACCTGCGTGTAAACACAGGATGTGTGTGCGACAGGCTGCGTGATGACTTAACAGCACATTTTTGCACTGTAGAGGTTTAGTTAGCTTTGCCTTGAATGAAATAAAGTTTATGTTTACTAGAGAAACTCGCTGTGGTTTGGGTTGCTGTGGGTGTCTTGTTTAGGTCTGTGAGGGGACTGGGTAAAAATGGCCCTGTGAGCAAGAGGGACAAAGCGTTCGGAGGCTGCGTGAAAAAACAAACCTTTCCTTTAATGGGGGTGTGGGGAAACTCTACAGCACAAACATCATATCTCTCTGTATAACAGGAGTGAGCTGACAGCAGCTTTGCCCCCCAGGAGCCATCCTGCCACAGCGGGGTCAGCACAGGGCAATAAATTAATCTTTCTCCGGAAGGGAGCTCGAGCCGGTCAGATTCCTTTCGGTATCGGTGGCTGTCGCTCCGAGCCTTTTCCTCCTTGGCTGGGCTCTGGCACCCTAAACCACAGCTGCCAGTAAGGGTTTGGGAGGCTCAGCTCACCTCCCATGGCTGGAGATCCATGTCTTGGAGCCGAGACAGCCAAGGGTAAAAGGATGGGGAGGGAGGCCTGGGGAGAGAAGCGACCTGTTCCGGCAGGTCTCAGAGCTCCGACTGCGAAGAGAGAGAGGGAAGAGATTGAAAGCTCTGGAAGGGCAGCCAAAACCAAGAGGAAAACAGCTGTGTCCTTAAGGAGACAGCTCAGCTGAAGGGGGCTGCCTGTCCCCCCACCAGCTGTGCACAGAGCAGTGGGGTTGGCAGGATGGACTGACCCTGCGGACGGTGTAGATCCAGCCCAGGTAGGCACGGACGCTGGTGTAGACGCCGGGCGTGCTGGGGGTCCCGCAGCCCTGGCCCCAGCTGACGATGCCCACCACCTGCCAGTGCCCGCCCGAGTACAGGAGGGGCCCGCCGCTGTCCCCCTGCGAAGGACAGACCCTCTGAGGGGGGCTCAGGAGCCCCCCAGTCCCCAGCACCCCTTTCCCACGACAGCTGTCCCCTCCAAGGGGCCGTGTCATGGGTGGGTGCAGACCCACCCACCCCTCTTCCCAGCCCAGGCCCCCCACCTGGCAGGTGTCCACCCCTCCCTGGGGCAGGCCGGCACACAGCATCCTGTCGGTGACCTCCCCGTGGTAGGCAGCCACGTTACAGCTCTGCTTGTCTATGAGCTCCACCTCTGCCTGCTGCAGGCGCTCCGACAGCTTCCCTGCGGGACACGGGGCTGCTCAGGGGGGCCCCGAGGGAGGGGAGAGCCCACTGCCAGTGCTGGGGGGCTGTGCCCTCGCCCCCATCATCCCGTGCAGTGCAGCTCACCGTGCTCCTCCGTGTAGCCCCAGCCTATCACCCACAGGGGCGTGCCTGGCACCAGCTCCTCGTCGAAATAGGGCAGGCAGATGGGCTTGGTGTTGTCTGCAAGGGAGATGGCTGGGGGGGCTCACAGGGAAGGGGCCCAGACTGGCTGGGGCCACCCACCAGCCGGGCACTCTGCTCCCTGCTGTGCCCTCCCAGCCCCGCTGCTCGGTGCCAACAGAGGACCCTCGGGCCTCCTGCCCCAGCAGGGCTGTGCCACGGCTCACCTGAGACGTGCAGGGGAGAGCGCAGCTTCACCAGGGCGATGTCGTTTTCCCTGGGGGACGTGGGTGTCACCTGGGCCAGGAACACCTTCTCCACGGCGGAGGTGGCGGTGCTGGAGAGGAGGTCGGAGCCGGCCTTGACGCGCCAGCTCTGGATGATGGGGTTGTTCCTGCACACAGGCAGCTCTGTCACTGCTGTCACCGCTCCCTGCTCGTCCCTTGGCGGGGACAGGCAGCAGAGCCCTGCCTGCACGCTGCCCTGCTCGGCATCAGGCCGAGGGCACGGAGATGTTAATTACACACGCGTTAATTGACATTTAATCAACGCGCGGCTCAAACCCGGTGGGACCCAGCCCGGAGGAGCCAGCCCAGCCCTGGGGAGGTGCCGACTCACTTGAAGCAGTGCGCGGCCGTCAGGACCCAGCGGGGGTCGATGATGCTGCCCCCGCAGATGTGCTCCCTCCTGTACTGCAGACTGACCTGCCACGGCCACGCCTCGATGGCAGCCGGGCTCCCGCCCAGCACACGCGGCGTCCTGATGCTCTGCCCGCAGTCTGCGGGCGCGGGGGGCAGAGGGACACGTTAGGAGGGACAGGGCGAGGGTCTCGCACCTCCCAGGGAGGGGAGTGTGGCTGGGGTGCCTCACCCCCATGACACTGCCATTGCCCCTCATCCCCAGGCTTGCTGGAAGGAGTCCAGCCATCCCTGCCTGCTCCAGCCCACCAAGAGGATTGGTTTAATCAAGGTAATTCATCAGCAAAAGTAACCCAGCCAGGCAAGCTAGGTAAGTCTCCCTCAGGTGTTTCATTTCTGGAGGGTTTGTACTGGCTTAACGAGGTTAGCAGTAATTAAATCCAACTTTCCTCGTGCAAACACCGCGGGGAGTGGGGAGGGAGAGGGCTGGAAGCAAGTCATGGTACTTACTGGAACAAAAGAGTGAAACAACCAACCCAGAGAGGCATTTCCTGGAAGAGGGAAGAAAAGGGCTGGATTGGGTGGAGGACAGGTTCAGGGCACCGAGGGCTCCCCCTCAGGGCTCAGTGGCCACTTCCCACACGGTGCCCACTCACCTGCCCGGCTCCAGCACCTGGAGGCTCCCGTTGTCCAGCACGACCTCGCGGGGAGGGAGGGGCTGCCCTGCACTCACCTCCACCCCCTGGAAAGAGGGGGTGCTGAAAGACACAGAGGGCACGGGTCAGCAAACTCAGCTGGACATGGGACACAGGGACTGGCAGGGGACAGGCACTGGTGCCTGAGCATCTGGGGAGCCTGGATCCCATGGAAAAAAGGGATTCCTTGGGATAGCGACGTGGGGATGCCAAATGGGGGAGTGCCACATCCCTGAAGGGCCAGTGGCAGGATGGGGGGGACTGTCCACTGAGGCCAGGACCAAGGACAGGAGCAAGTGAAGAAAGGGAGAGTGCTCCTGCTATGCAGAGGGGTGGGCAAGTGGCCCTGGGGGACATTTGGGACCTGTGCTCAAAGCCTTAATCCTTGACTTCCTGCCACTGGAAAACGCCATCTTGGGCTTAATCTGCACTCCTAGAGGAGCTCAGACACCAGAATGTGTAGTTTCCCCCAGATTTCAAGTTTAACCAGCTGTAAGTGATTGCAACAACCCAAACTTGCTGTTAGCTCAGGGCAGGGCACGAGGGGGACACAGGTAGATGATATGGAGCTTCATGGCAGCTGTGAGGATCCAGCTGTGCTGCATCCACAGCCCCAGCCAAGAGCTGTTGTCCCAGGCTATAAAGGGGCCCTGTGCCCACCCCTCCCCAGGTGAGTGATGTTGGCAGGGAGAGCCTGGGCTGCCCGGGTGAGGGCAGTGCTGCTGGGTGTCCATGGGCTGGGGACAGAGCAGGGCACACTGAGCACAGCACTCTGCTTCCAGGGGAGGCTGCCAGGGCTCTGAGACAGCTCCTGTGTGGTGAGGATGGACTGAAACCATTAATGCAGAGCTCTGAGTGCTCTATAGGTAATCAGAGCCCCACTCGAAAAGAGCTTTTATGGGAGAGGCACAGATAAAGCAGCCTGTACCTGCTGTAGCCCATCTGCTCACAGGCTGCCTTGGCCAGCACCAGGTCGAAGTGGTCGTGGCAGACACAGGACCAGGCTCCAGTGTTCCTGTTGAGCACCTGCAGGATGGATCTGTCTTTGGAAACGCGGGCTGGAGGCAGACACAGAGTCAGCTTCTGGGTGGCTTTAGCAGGAGAGCACTCCAGAGTTCTCACGGGGTGTCCTGCACTCACCTCCCACTGGTGGCCCCTCAGGGACCCACTGGGGACAGTTGGCCTCGTCCTCGCCCTGCAGACAGTCCACCTGCCCGTCACACACCCGCTGCAGCGGCACCAGCTTCAGGGGCTGTTTGCAGAACAGGTAGTGGTGATCCAGGTAAACCTTGACTGGAGGGAAAGGGGGGCTCAGCACAGAGCTCTGGCTGCTGGGCAGGCTCAGGGCTGGCACGGGGGGGCCCAGCAAGGAGCCGGGTCCAGAGCTGTGTTTGCTGAGCCGAGGCCACGTGAACGGAGAGGGAGAGGACGCTGGGAGCTGTACCCAGGAACCCGACGGCGACCAGGCAGGCGAGGGTGAGCACCACAGCCAGGACGAGGATGCCAACCCGCTTGAAGGACTCCAGTGTCCTCGGGGATTTGTGCCTCGTACTGGGACCTGCAACACAGAGGAGTGTGGGCAGGCTCAGCCTGGCAGCCCTCATCCCCAGCCCCACAGGAGTTACCTCTGCCGTTCAGCCGCTCCGAGGCCGAGTCCTGCAAAGCAGAGGGAAAACCAGTCAGCGAGGGGAAACTGCAGCCAGAGAGCAGCTGCAGGGTCTGGAGCAGCATGGGGAGCTCACAGCTCACCAGCCACCCCAGGAAGGGCAGCAGGGATGAGCAGGGAAACTGCCCCAGCCTCCATCCAGCTTCAGAACTGCTGGGGATGTGTCCTGGTGTGACACCCAACTGCTGTCACCTGGGGTCACCTGCTGTGTTCCCCTGGACACCACCTGTGCAATTCCAGTAAGTGGCTGTTAATACTACTGTCACTAACACGCCAGAGACTTAAAAAGTCATAGATGTTACAAAAGAGGCGCTTTCTGATGTGCCAAGAAACCCTGAGTCAAAATACACACGCCTGCGGGGCTGTGGCACGCGGGCATGTCACGACGGGGGTTATATCGTCAGTAGGGTCAGACAGCAGGAGGCACAGCCCGAGCGCTCCCCGAGAGGCTCTGGAAGCACCAGAGGAACCAGCCCCCGGGAGCCAGCGCTCCCAGGGCGGGGAGGGAGGGAGTGCAGGCTGTGCTGCTGCTAGGACACGCAGTAAACACAGCCCGGCAGCAGCCGGGGCTGGAGCCGTGATGAATCAGGCATTGATCCACTTGATCTCCTCACAATTACCCCCCTGTACCAGCTTCTCGTGGGAGAACTGCCCGGCTGCAGGAGGGCAGGTCCTGTGAGCTGCAGTGACCCTGTCCTCAGTGAGAGGGCTGGTGCTGGGCAAAGCCCAGAGCCCCTTTGGGGGGGTTCAGGTGGGCACCGTGTGTGCCTGTTGCCCTGTTTTGCAGCAGTGTTGGTGCCGTGCCATTGAGCAGCAGTGTGTGGAATGGTGTTCCTGCTGAGACTGGTCCCTTCCATGTCCAGCCAGCCTCAGTGAGGTCTTGGCCTTTGTTGTTGCTTCTGGACTCTGCCACAACAGGTAAGAGAAGTTTTTTGCATGGACAGAGGTAAGGAAGATTAAACCTGCTGTGATAAACCCGCAGATCCAGGAGGGTTTGGGATTTGGAAGCCTTTGCTCCCTGTGCCATCTCAGGGCTTGGAGGCTGGGACTTAGAGGAGCATTACAGAGGGACTGGGTGTGTGGGTGAGGGTCTGTCCTCCAGCCCAGGACAGGTTAGAGGAGAGGTGAGCCCTCCCTCCCTGGGTCACTGCAGCAGGGCATGTTCAGCCATGCACACCCCACCTGCCAGCAGGATTGTGCAGGTGAGTGCCAAGCCATTATTGCTGGGCTCACCCACAGAGCCAGCTGGGGTTGATGTGCTGCTCCTTGGCTCGCTGCCCCTCGCTCAGCCAGGACATGTTGCCTCCCCATCATGTCCCTGCTCCGTGGCTTGGGTGCCAGTTTTGGGAACAAGAAGTGACTTTGCAGGCGAAGATCCTTCCTGGTGCTGTGGGCATGTGGCCGTGCCCCAGCACGCCAATGCCTGGCTCCTTTGAGGAAATGCCGGCGGCTTTTCTCCAAACAGCTGAGCTCAGCTGGCACCCGTGCCAGGGGTGGGAAGGTTGTACCCAATTCCCTACCCCTGGATGGGCTCTGATCAGCTCCCAGGGATGCAGAGCCTGGCTCCTGGTGGCAGGGAGCAGGAGAGCAGGGTGGGAAGGGGAATGTGCATCCTGCACCTTCCAGAGCCGCTTCTCTGCAGCCCCTGGTGCCCGCAGGAGCCCTGGGGGTTCTGTGATGCTGCACATACACCCTGCAGTGCAGCCAGCCCAGGGCATGTGGGGCCAGTCCTTCCTCATGCTGACCTCCTGTGTCACCGTGGGCCGGGGCTGGGCATGACCTGGATAATGGAATCCTAACGGTTCCCACTGGGAACGGTCCCAGGCCACGATGGATCCTCCAGCCTGGGGGACACTGCAATGGCAGTGCTGCCCCTGCCTGTCCCCAGGCTGCCCATACTTGTTCCCATCATGTCATCCAGGCTCCTTTCCGAGGCACCTGTGCAGGTCTGGGACAGATGCAGGTGGGATAAGAGATTATTGATTTTTTAAATTTTTTTTATATTTTCTTCAGTCCGCAGACCTCCTCTGTTTCAAAGGGTTTCACACCTTGGAGCTGCCCAGAGCTGCCTCTCCACGACTCCTCTCAAACCCACACTACGGGCAAGAGCTGCACTGGTTAAATCCAAAGCAAGGCAAGAGCTGTGCCCACTCCTGCGTGGAGTGGAGGCACATGATTTCCTGGAGAACCCAAGGAGAACCCAAGGCTACCGTAACTAATTGAGCTCCCTTGCCGTGTTCTCTCAAAGCACTTAATGCCACTATGGCCATTTTGTGCTGTGCAAATGCCAGCCCAGGAGCTGTGGAGTTCTGATGAACCTCCTCACCCACACCATCTGGGGGGTGCAGGCTGTGCTGAGCTGTGCTTCTTCCCTCCCTCTGGAGCAGGTGGGCTGTTCCTTCACAAAACCAAGCTTCCCAGGGTGATTGGATTCCGAGGGTGACTCCTTGGCTGCAGGGATTTAACCCGTGGGTGTGTGTAGCTGTTGCTGCTGTGCAGGGGGTGAGCTCCCCACCCTGGAGGGGATGATGTCCTGGTGTGTCGCTGGTGGAGGGTTTTGCGGTGCCCAGCGAGGTGGGTTGTACCTGTCTGCCCTCTTAGGGAAGCCTTTCCCTCCTAGGGAGGCACTGCATGCCAGGCTGGGGTTTGGTGGCCATGGCTTTGCTGGCAAAGGGCGCTGCAGGCAGCGAGAGTGTCCCCGAACAGAGGGACCTGCAGTCCCACAGTGGGGGCTGCACTGCAGGACAGGGGGGCCTGGTTCTCACCCAGGTAGTGCCCAAGAACCAGAACCTTCTTGGGAGGGATGAGACTCCAGAAGGGCACGTTCCCCTTGTCATGCAGACTGCAAGACACACTGCCTTGCTTGTCTGCTTCCCGGGCTGGGAGAGGGCCGAGGCAAGCCAGAGAAACATGGGAGTGAGAGCTCAGGGAGGTACCCAGGCACCATATCTACCAGCCACGGTGGGGTGTTGAGAGATGCAGGTAAAACCCTGCCCTGTCTGGATGCTGCCAGGGCTGGGGAGCTGCAACTTTGTGAGTTTGGGCTACCCTTCACTGGTGAATCGCTCCTGGCAGTGCCAGGCTGGGAGTGCGGGGGGACATGGGATGTGCAGGGAGCCAGGGACTGGGGGCAGAGCTGTCAGTGACTCACCATGTTCATCCAGCTCCAGCGTGGTCCTTCTGCCTGCAGAAACCCGGCCAACGCCAGAGAATCACAGAATATCCTCCAGTGCGGGGCACAGGCAGGCTGCGGGTGCCCCGATGTCCAGGTGCCGGGGCCGGCGATGCTCCCGCAGCCCTGTGCCTGCTCTCTGCGCCCGCCCTGCGCTCACACTGGGGCAGGACCGCCCCAGCACTCCTTAAAACCCACAAGGGGAGTTGTGAAACAGGAATTCTGGTTTGTATTGTAATACAACACCGGTCTATCAGCAGCACCATCACCTGCTGTAATCTCTTGAGCATCTGCCACCGGGGGGTGACTCACCTGCAGGGCTGCTGTCACCAAATAGCTTATCAGAAGTGAACTGACTGATTTTTCCTGCTCCTCCTGATGATAAGGGCATCCACGGCCACCTCGCTCTTTGTCCGGCTCTTCCGCGTTGCGCGGGGTTGTTTTTACGCCGAGGTTTTGGTAGGTGGAGGAGGAAAGGAGGAGAGTTTATGCACGAGGTTACCTGGCTCTCGGGTCACTCGGTCTGTGTGTCCCCGTGCAGCACCAGGTGACGGCTGGCAGCTGCTCCTGGCAGTGCTGGGGGGGAGTTAAAGGTGAAGGAAGTGGGTGCCCGTGGAAGGTTATCCTGAGGCTGCAAGGGGGAGACAACAGGCTGTGCTCGGAGGTGGCCGTGCCCTCCTCTTGCAGCCCCCCATCTCTTTGCAGAGCAGCTGGCCTGGTTGGGCATTGGTGTTGCATGAGCTGGGGCTGGCAGGGGTGTGTGGGAGAGGGGCTCTCACAGCCCTCAGCCCTGTTTTAGGCAGTGCTCTGCCTGCAGGCAGGTGCTGGGGGTGCTGGTGGAGCCGTGCATGTGTCTGATGTAAAGCTGGGCAACACATCCGGGAATAATCAATGCCTCTGGGATGGAGAGGCTTGGTTTGGCCTGGCAGGATGGGATGGAAGTTTAGCAGCTGGCTGGGCTGGGGTCGGGGAGGCTGCGGGCTGCCTGCCCTCCTCCGCACTCCCGCTGGAAGTGATGGGTGTGCAGGGTTTGCTGAGCAGCTAATTACCCTCTCCTTTGGTAATCCAGCTTTCCACAGGGTCAGGAGAGCTGCTGCTGCCAGGTGTGTGTGCTGTGCCAGTGGGAGGCTGCAGAGAGCCCTGGACCTGCAGCTCCTCAGACAGGGAGCTGTGCCGTTGCTGTTCCAGCTCGTCCCTGTCACAGCAGGGACCCTGCCTGCTCCAGTAGCCTGACCAGGGGTCCTGGAATCCACGTGTGGCTCTGCAGGTAAGGGGCACCCTCCCCACACTCATGTTTGGGATCCAGCCCCCTCAGGAGGTGTGGGGATCTTGGCTGGCTGTGTCCACAGCTCCCGTCCCCATGGTCCATGTGATTCCCAAAGATTGTGGGATGAAGGGTGGGCAGTGGCACTGGCAGGCCCAGCTGGAGGGTGCCTGTGCTGCTGTGAGAGATTTCAGCTTGAAAGCCCCCTGGTTTAGGGGCTGCAGCAGTGGGCAGCTGGGCAGAGCTTGGGTGCCTGGTGTGCCACAGTGGGCCCTGACAGCCTTCCCAGAGCATCCCTGTGCCAGCCTCGCTGCCCTGAAAGGGAGAGCAGCCCGGGAGCATCCGTGGGGAGGGAGGTGGCATGGCAGGAGCAGCCCTTCCTCCTTTGAGGTTAGCAGGGCTTTGAGGAAGCAGCTGAGGTTTGCAGATGTTATGTCACAGCCCCACACGCCTTCGGGGCTTTGCTTCCTGGAGTGCGTCTGCATTTCCAGCCCTTCCCTGGCCTCCTGCACCCAGAGCCCTGGCATGACACAGGTTTCCGGGCATCCTGGCTCTGTTGGGGTCAGGCAGGGGTCAGACAGGGCTGGCCCAGGGCTCTGTGTGGCCAGCAGTGTCCCCGAGCCACACATGTACACACCTCATCCCTGTCCTCTCCTGTCCGGCAAGGAGTGGTCGCAGCCTCTCCGTGTGAGCTGGGGACTGCCAGGACCTGGGGGTCTGCAATGCCCATTGTTCCCTCTAAATCCCACTGGCTTTGCATCCCTGCAGGTCTCAGGCATTGCCCCTGCTCTCGGCACTGAGATGCTCACCCTGGGGAGGGCTGCAGGGGGGCTTGGCCCTGCCCTGGCACCCTGTGCCGCTGGCATTGGGGTATGGTAGAGGCTGGGCCTGGCAAGGTGGCACAAACCGGGAAGGAATTCTGCCCCTGGATGCCCAGTTTGCAGCTGTTAATGGTTATCCCTGTTTGTCATTTCTCTCTGCAGCCATGGGAGGTGGTTTTTCCCTCTTTCCACAAGCAGGAGTTGATTTCCCACCTGACCCTGTGGTTTGGGATTTTGAGGAGATGATCTCATAGAGCTGTAAGTGCATCATCTCGGGAGATGTCTGACGGGGGGCAGCTGCTGGGGGACTCCCTGTCCCCTGGGGTCCTGCACGGGACCATAACCTTTGTGGGCATCCCCAAATGCCCAAGCCCCTACTGCCCTCCTTGCTGCTGGTCTTTGCTGGGAGGTTGCCAAAGGACACGGCCACTCGAGTGCCTTGCCAGTGCACTGGACACAGCTGTGTACAGGGTGTCCTTGTCCCTTGGGCTCCCAGTGCTCCCAGTTCAGCCTCTTCCAGCAGTGGGAGAGCAGAGCTGCCCACACAGGCGGGCATTGTGCCCACCCCAGGGGGTGGGGAGGCTGGGCTGGGCACTGGGATGTGCCGTCTGCCGTGTCTGCTGCAGCTCCTCTGCTTTCTCCCCAGGAACCAGTTGGACCAGTGGGCGAGGACTGGTGCCTGGCCTCACTGCAGTGGGGGTGGTGAGGCAGCTGTGTCACCAGGAGAGCACGGAGGGCACGGGCAGGACGTGCCAGGCTCCAGCACACACAGGGCTCTGCTGCAGCAGTTTCAGCCCGGGACAGCCGTGAGCAGCTCCTGCACCACACCGGGAGATGGACCCCCAGAGAGGTGAGTGAGGGCCTTTGTCTCCCCTCACGGGGCAGAGGTGGGATGGTTCATGGCATGGGCAGTGTTTTGGTGACCTTCCTCCCCTCTGCTGTCTGGGAGCTGGGGCTGGGGCTCACCTGCCGTGGTGGCTCTGCCTCCAGCAGTGCTGCTCAGAGCCATCCCTCTGGGATGGGGGGATGTCTGGGAGGATGTCTGCTCCCGAGGGTGTCAGGGCAGGGATGCCTCCCACACTCGGCATGGGGCAGGGCCTGGGCACGAAGCCATCGTCCTCCCACTGGCAGTGGGCGTGGGGACAGGGCAGTTTCGGCAGCCACCTGATTCAGGGAGGCTGTTGCAGCACGTTCCTCCTGCCCCACAGCTCCTGTACATGAGTCACGGCTGCAGCAGCTCCTCACCTCAACCCTGCCGGGGCCTGGGGTCCTGGGGCTCCAGCTCACCCCTGCCCCAGCAGGAGCACGAGGCACTGGCTGCCCACATCACCCTCTCCAGGCAGGAGGGCTGGGGGAAGGCAGGGAAGGGCGGGTTGCTCCTGCTCCCCTGCCGTGGAACCCGGGTGCTCACAGGCTCTGAGGCTCCCAGCTGGATCCCATCAGGTAGAGCAAGTGCTGTGGGTTGCAGGATGACCCAGGACCTTGCTCACTATGCAAACACCGTGACCACAGGGGAAATGTGCTCACTCCACTGGCATCTGCCTAAATTTAGCTGCTGTTAGATCATCCCTTTCCACTGCCTCCTCACTCCAGACTCTGCAGGGCGCAGGATCCATCCCTGTGCCCTGCACTGCAGGGCTGGCCGTGCTGTGGGACAGTGCCCAAACCCCCTGTGCCCTCTTGGGCACAGCCCCTCCAGAGCTATCAGCAGAGAATTGGATTCTCAGTGGCTCTGCTGTGCTGGGCACCTCAGCAATCCTGGGAGCGTTGGCTGGTGCTGGGCTTCAGCAGCCCCTGTGACATGGACGGGAGGGATGGAGTGATGTAGAGCCCCACAGTGGTCCTTCACAGCCCCTGCCGTGTCCCTGCACAGCCCCTGCTCTGTCCCGTCCCAACCCGGCGCTGGCAGCAGCCCGAGGCTGCTCGCCCTGACAAGTGCCTCCTCTAGAGGGAACTGCCAGCCCAGAAATGGGTCTGCCTGGCTGTGCAGGGCTGGCTGCAGCGATGGATGGCTCCCGGGGCAGCTGGACGAGGTGCTTCACCCCACAGGGTGTGAGTGGGACCAGAAGTGGGGATACAGCGTGGTCAGGGTGGCCAGCTCCCTCCCCAGTCACCATCCCTCCTGCCAGCTCGCCTGGGGACAGCAGAGGTGGTGGTTGTGTGACCAAGTCTTCATCACAGGACTTTGGAGGTGGCAAAAATCTCTGTGCCACAGCACTTAACAACCTCGTGGTGTGTAACCCTTCCCTGCTGTAGGGACAGCACAGGGTGGAAGGTCATATCCCAGCTGTCCTGTTCCCCCCAGGGAATGATCAGAACCCCCAACCTCCCAGAGGTGTTTGTCTGCAGAGCCCTTCTCCCTCTGCTTTGCAGGGCAAGAGCCCATCAACGTGGTCGGGGCTGTGCTGGGCATCGGGCTGGCCTTGCTGATCCTGGTGGTTTTTGGCTACACCTTCATCCGGTGGTACCAGAGGGGCTGGTGCTGGCACCGTGAGTGAGGGCAGAGCAGGGGGACAGCTGGTGACAGGGGAGGGAGGGCTCAAAGGACAGGGCTGCAGGGTCTGGGGAGCACCCCTGACCTTTGCTGGCCCCTGGGGAAACCTCCGTGCAGGGGCTCTGGGGTGAGCTGGGGACACGCAGAGGTGAGGAGGGGGATGCACCCTGATGTCCTGCTGCTGTCCCACTGCCTGTGTTGCCTGTCCCCGTGCTGCTACACAGACTCACAGCAAAGCAAAGGTGGGTTCATGGCTCTGACACCTCTCCCTCCTCTTCCTCCTGCCTCTCCAGGGCCTGACTTTGTCTTCAACCTCTACCACACGCAGTGAGTGTTGCCGTGGGGGGACCTGGGGTGGGCTGGCTGCTCACTGTGCACTGTGCTGAGGTGTCACACACCCTCACCAGTCCTGAATCCCCCACGTTCTACAGTTTGCAGGCACTGCCTCCCCAGGGTGGCTGTTCTGGGGGTCTCCACGGGGACAGTGCCCACGCTGTGGGCTGGCAGGGGCTGGGGGGGATGGGCAGCTTGCTGACATCTCTGCTCTCCCCACAGCGGGCTGGGGTCAGTGGCAGTGGAGCTGGTGCCCCCATTCAGCATCAGTGGCTCTCTGAGCACCACGGGCAGTGGCTACAAGCCCTTCCACACCCGGGGGCCGTGAGGAGGGAGCTGGGCTGCTGAGCAGGTAGGACATCACCCTGTGAGGGGTGTGGGGTCCCCAGCCATGCGTGTCCCTCCAGCACAGCCCATGGGTGCCTCTGTGAGGAGCCCAGGGGGGTGACAGTGCTGTGCCCCAAAGCCTCCCTGCTGCCTTGTAGCCCCTGGGCATCACAGCTTTCCCTGGGATAGTCCCAAGGTTTTCCCAACAGAAATCCTGTGGCTGTGGGGGTACAGGGGCTTTCCCCGGGTTCCGGTTTTCGTTCCCCCTGGACAGGCTTTGGTTTGCATTTCCTTCCCTGCTGTCCTTGGCCTGGGGTGGAACATGTGGGGAGGGACAAAGGGGGCTGGAGCCCGGGTGCTCCTGCACCGCTTCCTCTCACTGCCTCTCACCCACCACCCAGCACCAGCCAAAAAAAGCAACCAAAACCGGCTGGGGGGAACTCCTCCATTTTCACTTCTGTAAAAAACAGCCCCTGAACCTGCTGGATTTCTACTGAAATGGTAACGTAGCAGTTTCTGGTTTTAAAAAAAGCTTCACAGAATAGCTGGGGTTGGAAGGGACCTCTGGGGACCACCTGGTCCAAACTGCCACTGGAAGAAGTGACACAGGAATGCATCCAGGAGGATTTTGAATGTCACCAGAGAGGGAGACTCCACACTCTCCCTGGGCAGCTCCTCCATCTGCTCCCCAGCCACAGCTCTCTTGCTGTCCTTCCCTGGCCATGGGCAGCACAGGAGGTGCCTGGGGCTGGCACTGGCACAGCCTCCCCTCGCTTGGGATGGAGGAAGAGGATGCGGCCTCATCTCAGGCTCCCTCAGCACTCATCCCAGAGAAAACAGCCACCCTCCCCACGGCTCAGAGACCTTCCAGCCCTCAGGACCAGCCACCTGCATGCCCAGGAGACCTGGGGCTGAGAGTGCAGGGCACCAGCTAAGGAGGACAGCCAAGAGCCCCAGAACTGGGTGGCTAGGTTTGTGCAACTGTGAAGAAATGGGAAATCTACTCCAGGCCCCCTCCTCGCTCCAGTATCTGGACCAATGCGGGAGTTTGTCCCCTGCACCAATAGTGCAAGCAAACACCTCAGAAAGCCCCTGTGAGGTTTGTCCTGATTTTTTTCATACCAACTGCCTTCAGTCTCAGCAGAGCAAGTGGCTGTGGAAGTGCCCAGAGCATGAGAGCAGCCATGGGGAAGGTGCTGTGGCCACAGAGAGGGACCATTTCTATGCAAACTTTCCTCAGAAGGAAAATGAAGAGAAACTCATGACTCCCTGTGGCTGTGTGAGGGAAACCGGTGAGGACAGAGCGGGATTTCCAGGCAGTCGGAGGGACTATCAGCACTCTCGGCCACCAAAGCCAAGCCCTGTGGTCTGCAGCTTTCTGGAGAACTCCTGGGTTTGGTTGAAAGGAGAGCTCTGGCTGCTCATGTTGCCCTGGGTGCTGGCAGCTGGAGCCCTTGGTGGTGGGCAGGAACTGCCAGCGCTCGGCACAGCGCAGGATCCGCCCGCGGAGCTTTGACGTCAGCGGCGCTTGAAAGAAAAACTAAACAAAAAAGTCACGCTTAGTTTTGATGACTCCGTTTTCCAGAGGAAGTTGAAAAAAAAAGAAAAAGAAAGCAAAAAGCTCCAGCCCCCAAAATACACAGAGGCAGAAGAGTTGGGGTCAGTGGCGGGGCAGGAGGAGGTGCCCAGTGACCTCCACAGCCGGGCCCCCGCGGGATGCAGGCACTGACCTCACATGTGAGTAGTGCAACATCTGGTGTAACAAAAGGCAACCTGGCAAAGATCAGTGTCCTTCTCCTGCCTGCAGTGACTCATGCTTTCACCTGAAAAACATATTCCCCGAGGAGGGTTTCCACCAGCAGTTTTAATGGGACTATCCCACCGTGAAGGTTCTTGGAAACGAAGTGACTCTTGGAAAAACTTCCCTGCTGCGATCTGGCAGCAGTCAGGTGTGTAGCCCACGGTGAGTTGTTCCATCTCTTGCTGTTTCCATTCTGACAGTAACTATTCACAGAATCACAGAATCAATCAGGTTGGAAAAGACCTCTGAGGTCATCAATCTAACCTATGACCAAACACCACCATGTCAACAAGCCCGTGGCACTAAGTGCCACATTCAGTCTTTCCTGGTTTCCCCAACCCCTGGGTTTGATTTGTTCTGCTCTGCCCTGAGGTTCTCCTGTCCTTCCCTGGTGCTGTCCCATGGAATCCCTGTGTATTCCCTGCTGCCTCATCCCATCCCTGTGGAATCATGATGAGCAGTTCAGCTCCTTTTCCCTGCTGCTCCTCTGGTGACTGATCCCACAACACTGCCCTGGGACAACTGCCACGGTCCTCAGGTGCATAAGAATCTCTCAGTGATCTGCCTTGGTTCTCCTTTTGCAGCTGTGATGTGCTGGAAATGCTCTTCCCCACGTGAGGCAAAGGCACGTTGCCCTTTGCTGCTGGGGAATGTCTGTGCGTGAAAACGGAAAGCGCAGCTTGACCTTAGGAGAGGATGAACAGACAAACGGCCCAAATAAATAACACCACATCCTTTGTATTTACAAATTAAATAGAATAAATAATGTCTGCATACAGGAGGGGCAGAACACAGCCCATAGTGTTAAGCAGGGCTGGCCTGGCTCATCGTGTATCCCGTAACCCATGAGACAGCCAGCACCCCACGGCTCTGCCAGAGGGGCTGGATGCCAAAGGGTCTCTGTGGGGTCAGAAAAGTCCCTCGCTCCCTCCATGTGAGGTCAGCCAGGGAGGGAGCCCCGTGCTCCAGCAGTAGGGTGGCTGATGTCAGGCTGCCCTCTGCTCCCAGTGTCTGTGTTGTGAAAGGTCTGGATGTCGTCGGAGGACGTCACCGGAGCTGTGGACGTCAGCTGGAGGAGCCCAGTGCTGGCCAGAGGAAGGGGGAAGTGGAACCACAGAGCTGGCCCCAGCCCCAAGGGTGGCCCTGTGCCTCAGGCTGGGCTGCTGAGGAGGGCAGACAAGACAGGATCATCCTTGGGAAACATCCTGGTGCGTATCCTTGAGCTTGGTGAGCCTCTCCAGCACAGTCCATCCCTGTCTCTCATTAGAGTACACCAGAGACCAGCTGGAGGGACACACTGGAGGCTGTCCACACAGTCCTGGGGCCAAAGCAGCCCCAGCAGTAGCTGAGCAGGTGCTCCAGGGACATGTCTCAGCCCAGCACCACTTGGTTTGGTGTGTTAACATTCAGGGGTGGCAGTAGCTTATTGAGTGGCTGCTCCCCACGGGCAGCGGGTAGAAGAGGTAGTTGTGTCAGCGTGCAGGGCTGGCAGCACCTGCTGCCCGGCCTGGGCACGGCTCACAGGCGGCTGTCCTTGCTGTCCCCACTGAGCAGGCTCAGGGGGTTCACTGGCAGTGTGAGCCAGCTCGTGCTGAGGCTGGAGGTGAGGGGCAGCATCCCCAGGACGTCAGTGTTGAAGATGCTCAGGTCCAAGGGAGCTTTCAGGAGCTCAGGGCAAGCTTTGGAGACCAAGGGAGCACTTGGAGCCCCCCAGCTCAGCAGAGTGGGGGCTAGGGGTCCCACCTGGCTGGAAAAGTCCAAGGAAGGGGCTCCCCATGGAGCGAGGTCCTGTGCATTGCCACGGGGATGCTCTGGAGAGGACTGCTTCAAATACCCTTTGGATACAGCCAGCTCGGAGCACTCAACATCCAGCACGAGGTCAGTGCCCTGCCCAGGTCCTTCACAGCCCGAGAGGGTCATTCCCTTGGCTGGGTCCTGCCCTGGCTCCACCGTGCCCCTGCACTGCTGCAGGTACCCGCGGAACTCCACGGCCTCCTGGCCGGTGGCAGGGCAGAGCTCTGGCTCCCCTTGGCTGCTGTTCCCGCTGCTGGAGGAGCACGTGGGACCAGGGCAGGGGCTCTCCAAGCCCACACCGCTGTCGTCGCCAGTGGGCAGCTGTCGCCTGTAGCCCTGGGGCTCAGGGTGGGTGGAGCAGCTCAGTCCGGGGGAGGAGGAGGGGATGTGCAGGCAGATGCCGCTGTCGGTGCTGCTGCCGCTGTTGTCTCGGCTTCCCACGGGTCCCAGCAGGCACAGCCGGTCCTTAGGCCACACTGGGAGCCTCCAGCCCTGCTCCAGGGGCACCTGGGCTGTGCTAGTGCTGCTGTCCAGCTGGGGCTCCTTCTGGCACAGGAACAGCTGCTGGATGGGGTCTGTGTCCAGGCTGCCTGAGGACGGGGGCTCATGGTCCACCCAGAGCGAGCTCTGCTTCATGAAGGACTTCTGAGAGGGAGAGAAAGAAGGGAGTGAGCTGGGCTTTGTCCCTCTCGTTGCTGGCCGCTCCCAGCACTCCCCAAGCCTGCGCCTGCCCCTCCATGCCAGCCACAAAAGGTGCCTTACCAGGACAGATGGTGTCCTCATGGGTTTCTTTATGTAGGTGTGCACCAGCAGAGCCCCCAGGATCCCCAAAAGCACAATGAAGCAGGGGCTGAGGATGCTCGGGAGAAGCTCCACAATCCCTGCAAGAGAGGACGTGTCCAGGTGAGGGGGACAGGCAGCGTCCAAAGGGCACAGAGCGGCTGTCCTGGCGTGGACCCCGCCACATCCCCAGGGCCAGGAGGCTGAGGAGGGTCTGCATCCCTCCCTTCCCTGGCTCCCCACTCACTGTCTCTCTGGGCTGTGGTGACACACTGCTCGTCAGTGCGTGTGGCGCGGAGGTGCCGGTTGGTCACGCTGGGCTCCACGCTCAGGCAGTACTCAGTGCCCCAGAGCAGGTTGCTGAGGGTGAACTCTGCCCTGGTCTCCACCACTTCAAACTGCAACAAGGAGAGCACAGGCTGGTACCTGAGACCCCCCAGCTCCTGCAGCAGGGCTGGTTCCCCCTCCTTCCTCCCCTTCCTCCCCCGTCCCCTGGGAATGGGACATCTCCCCTCCCCAGCTGACAGCAGTTAGGCCCAAAATCCCAAGGGCCGGGGAAGCTGCTGCAATAAAACACGCAGAGAAACCTCTCTGCCGTGTCGTGGCTCTGAGAAAGCTCAGCATTTAGTTTTATAGAAGATTGTGCTTTAACAATGTGTTTTTTCCACCCGAGCAGGACCGTGTGGGACAGATGGGGAGAGCATGGGAGCAGCAACTCATCTCACCGTCTTGTTGTCCTGCGTCCTCCTGACGTACACCCGGTACTGCCTCACGTCCTCATGGATGTCCTTGTACCTCACAGTGACTTTCCCAGTCTGGAAGAGCAGCTGCAGCTGCACGTGGATGGTGTTGCCCCTCACGGAGAGGCTCTGGCCCGACAGGCGCAGGCTGGCTGGAGGTAAGTCAGTTGGAAGAGCACGTTAGGGCTGTGTCCTGCTTGCAGCACTGGACTGAGCTGTGACTGTCCCTCGCAGCCTGTGCCACCCATCCTCACTTTGTCCCATCCTATCCTGCAGCCTGCCTGCCCTCCAGGAAGGTATGGAGTTCTTCCCAAGTGGTTTGGCACCCTGACCTCACCATCCTCAGAGCCTCCTATCCCCAGCTGAGGTGAAGGCAGACCCCAACCTACCATCCTGTGGGGAGAAGGCGTTGGTCCTTTGCCACGAGGACGTGTGGTTCCCAGACACGGCCCTGACCCGGGCGTAGTAGCGCCTGTTGGGATCCAGGGTGTAGAAGGTGAGGTCACAGGATTGCCTCGAGGACTTGGTGCACTCTGGGATGGCCGTCCAGGGGATTTTCGTGCCGTAGCTGCGGGGAGAAGCACCGGGGGTGAGAGCCATGTGGGCAGCAGGGACTCAGCTGTCCCTTGCCGTTGGAGTCGGATGGCAGGCAGGGCTCAGCCCCCATGGCTGCACTCACACTTTGTACTCCACATCGTAGCAGACGTCCCTGGGGTGGCCGTGTCCCGGCTCCCACTGCAGCACGTGCCACGTGGTCTCGGCAGCGAAGCGCACGCGCCGGGGGCTCGCCAGCCCCTCACCTGTGGGACCCACGGTGGGCATTGGGTGAGGCTGCACAGCCCCCCATCCCATGGGAGCTGGGCAGGGCCCTTGGGAGGGCCTCCTGGAGCGTCACCCCACGTTTAGTGCTGACCACTCGAAATGTGTAAGGATTTCCCCGGATTTATTTGTCAGAGTTTCAGCGTCTGCTCATCCCCATCTTCCCCTTCCTCTCTCTTTGGGCAGAGCCCAGCTCAGCCCAGCTAGGGGGTTCCCCGTGCTTTTCTGCCCCAAGAAAGGAGCTGTGTTTGCATCCCCAAGCCCCTGCCATTGGCCACGGGGGCTCTGTCCGGACTCAGCTTTCTCGCAGCTGTGTTTGGGCTCCGCTTTCCTGTTTTGCTCATCTGCTGCCTGGATGAAACAGACTGTTTTCACACCTCCTGCCTGATTTCAGTCCTGTCACCTGGCAGCAAAGCCTCCGCTCGATAACATCTGCCACCCCACCACCCCCCCCGTGCCAGCGACCGTGGCACCTCGCCTGTGATCACAGCGCTGGGGACAAGCGAGGCTGGGGACTCAAGAGCCTTTGGGCTCCCGACCAGCAACAAAAGGCAAGTGGCAAGCAGGGAGCCCTGGCCGTGTCTCGTTCCAAAGCACCGGTCTGAGCACCCAGGGATGGTGTCCAAGCTGTGGCTCCAACCTGCTCCCTGCCTGCCTCCCCCGTCCCGGGCTGAGCAGCCCACCCGGAGCCGCGGAGATGAGCGGGGAGATGAGAACGGGCAAGAGACTCACCGTGTGTGTGCGGGGCGAGGAGCAGCGCCAGGCACAGCGCCAGGGCAGGGGCAGAGGGGCCCATGGCAGCTCAGCATCCTCCGTGGCAGCAGGTTGAGTGCGGGGCCGAGCTCTGCCCCGGCGGGTGCCGAGCGCCTGTTTTTCCCCGGGGGTTGGCTCAGTGACGTCTCGGAGGCGTTCGCAGAGCGGGAGGAAAGTCGCTGTGCAGCTACTTCCACTTTTTGTTTTTTTGCTGTCCACCCACTCAACCCCAGACAATGCCTCAGCCCCGGGCTGGGCATTTCCAGCTGCAGACTTAAAGGAAGAATTTTGGGGGCTTTTCTGAGCAAAACGGTGCAGTGCTGAGAAAGGCAAGTACAAGTACACGATGTCTCTGCCTTTGCTGCTTCTTTATGAGATGAGATGTTAAAAGCACAGCAAAGGTGAGTGTTAGCACTGAGGGTGACCTGCCACAGGGATTTTACAGAGCACAGCACCATGTCCTGCCCTGCCAGCAGCTAAATCCAGCCAGGTTCCATCCAGCCCTGGAGCCCAAGGAGAGGGTTCTGGCTTTCCCTTCCTTTGGGCTCGGCCTCTACCCTCCCGTTTCTTTCCCCATGTATGGGGCTGAGTGACAATTTCTGGGTTATTCTGTGTCCTGCAAACAACTACACACATCTCAAGTCCAGTGTGGCAGGGGGGTGCCGCTGTCCCCAGGGCTCTGGTAGCCCCCCAGGTATGGCCATGACTCACATGGCTGTGGGGTCTGGCCCCATGGTGATGTCCTGCCTGTCTGGTGATGCTGGGACCTGAATTACCCCCCAGAGGGCTGTGAGTCCTCTGCTTTGCTTTCTGGCAGGTGGGATTACAGGAGAGCTTGCTTGAGGGTTTTCCTGGAGCCCTCATGTGATGGGGAGTGATTCACCCCAAGAAGAGGAATTTCCCGCTGGGGAATAAGTGGAAAGGACACAGATGAAACGAGTAAGAGGAACCAAAAGTGCTTGGGACAGACTCAGATAGCATCATGTCAGGTCTGGCTTGGTGGGCACAGAGGTGTAGGACCTCAGGTTCCTCCTTGAAGAATCATCTTAAATGCCTCAAGTGGAAGATTTCTGCTGTTTTCCCTGACTCGTCCTTCCTGCCAAAGGCCAAGGGCTTCCACAAACTTGCAACCTGGTCAGAGCACCAGCAGCCGATGCCCTCCTGCCCTGGGTTTATTCCCCAGTCCTTGGCAGGTCAGCTGCTGTCTTATCACTCTGCTATCAGCTCCTGAGTCATATCTGGCAGCCACTGAACTTAAGAGTCCTGAGATGAAGCACAGCCCATCCCACACAAAGCCACAGCTTGTGTTTTGTGTAAAATAATGACAATTAAAAGCAACAGGACCAAAAACGAGGGAAGAGGGAGCTTTGTGGAAAAGACACCACGGGGCTGGTCCTGTGGGTGAGGCAGTTCAGAGGCTTGGGAGAAGGGGTTGGCGATTTAAGGGAAAATGAAACAGGCTGAGGAGAAATGAGAGTTCTGCAGAAGGCTGGGATGGTGAGTGGCACAGGCACCCTGGGGGACTTGGACTGGCGCCCGAGCTGCTGCACGGTGGGCAGTGTGACCTGTGGGTGACGTGGCTGACCCTGAAATATCTCCTGGTGGACACACCACAGAGAAACCCGGGCCAGGGACGGCTGGGTCTGTGTTTCCCTAGCCGGTGTCCCTCGGGAAGTTTTCCCAGGGTGACAGAGGGGTCAGGCAGGGATGCTGCACTGTTCAGTGTAGGGCTGGGGCCGGAGGGCTGGGTCTGCACAGCCCTGCCGCAGGACAGGAGCAGAGTGATCCTCGTCCCTCCCCAATTCCCTCATGCCTGGAGGTTGGAGCGGAGCGTGGAGCCGCCGGGCTCTCCTGGGCTGGTGGAGCCGGCTCTGGCTGTGGGTGCTATCATCACCTCTGTGCTAGCTGGGAGGGCAGGAGGGTGCTGCAGGGCTCACAGCAGTAGTTACCAGCAGGCAAGGGTGAGGATTTCACCTGGGAGGTGTTGTGCTCGCTGACATTTACCATCAGGCTGCTGGGGTCAGGCCGGACACACTGTTCTCTGTGACTTGTTTTCTGTAGGTGGCTTTGTAGAAACACTGGCAAGTAGTGAATGATTCCTGGAGTTGTCACCTGGAGCTGCTTTCTGAAAATCCCTTTTGAAGAGGATGTGGCAGCTCCTGTGGACATGGCTGGCTGGCTCAGAGCTGGCTGGGGATGCAGCTCAGTGCTTGGCCAGCCCTAGTACCCAGCAGGCTCAGCCTGCAGAGGCACAGAGGAACCACAAAGAGCAAACAAAAAACTCCCAAACCCACTTCTGCCTGTGAAAACTGCAGAGGAGTGCGCTGTGGAGTGAGGGCTGGCTCAGAAACCCCCCGTGGAAGATGGGATTCCCAGAACAGGAGGAGACACTGGGATCCAGCACAGGCTTTGCAGCCTTGAGACGAAGGGGCTTTGCAGCAGGGTTTCTCCAAGCTTGGATGTCCCTGCTTGTCTCCTGCCCTTCTGACGAGCAGGTGTGGGTGGGGAGCTGGATGAATAAGGGACTTACTCTATCAATAATGTCAGGAGAAATGTGTGGCAGTGAGGGTCATGGGTCTGGATATCAGAGAGCACACAATGCAGCTGGGCCTTTTTTTTAAACCTGATTATTTCTATCTGTTTCCACCTGAGTTCTTGGTTAAGCAAAGCATCCCCAGCTTGTGCCTGAAGGGCAGGCGGGAGGCTGGTGCTGGCTGCTGGCAAAAACATCACTTCACTAGTAAAGGAGTGAAAAGGCCTCTAGAGAAACTAGAGGGAAATTGCGTTTCGTTTCCCTCGGAACAGGGAATTCTTGACTTCTGGGTCACACCAGAGAGGTTTTCCTGGGGTTGGGCACGGCTGCACATCCCCTCCTCTCCCATCCTCAGCTGGCACCCTTAGCCCTTGGCTGGACTGGAGAGGTTGTGGGTGAATGTGTGGTGGGCACAGAGTGAAGAAGGGGGGAATTGGGTGGGCAGGCAGCCAGGAGAACAGCAAAGAACTCCCGGAGACCAGGGAGACCAGGATGCCACCATTCCCTTGGGCCAGGGGATATCTCACCTGCTCCCAGACTCCCGCCCCTCTGGCCACGGCCAGGCTCCCACTCCCACTGCCGGGGCGGCCGGCACAGGGGCAGGTGTTTTTCATGCTGTGCCTGGAGCAGTTGGGAAACAGGCAGCGGTGGAGCCGGGCGGCAGGTCCGACTGGTTTCCCTCCGCGCTGGCACTGACGTACGAGCCGCTCTCCAAACAGCTCCTGCCCCGTCCCCGGCACCCGGCTGTGCTCGGCCCCGCGCTGCGCGGGATGGCCGTGCCGGAGCTGTGAGCCCAGCCCAGCCCGCAGCGGCCCATGGACGGCAAAACTCCTCCGGTAAGGCACGGGCAGCTCCCCGGCTCCCACCCCGCGGGGGGGTCGGGGGTGCTCCGGGGCTGGATGGACCCGCTCTCCTTGGGGTTTGGTGGAGAGCCCAGTCTCTCCTCCCTGCTCTCCAGGGTGTTGCCTTCGAAGTAGACAGTGGGGAGAAGGAGCCAGGATGAGCTGCCTGGGGGGCTGCTGCCTCCGGCACTCTTGGGCACATGGAGGGAGGGGGACAGTCACCAGCATCCCTGGCGTCAGCTCCGTGCTGGCAGAGGAGGTGTCGGGGCCCCCAGCATCCTTCTGTGCCGCGTTGAAGTGGAGTTGTGAACTGGGGGGAACAGTCAGTGCTGTCAGTGGGATCTGGTGCCACTTGGCACCTGTGGGAGCTGCACTGAGTTTCTGAGTTTCTGAGCCCTCCGGCACTTTCCAGCAGCACTTTGGCAGCAGTGGGCTCAGCCCTGCTGCTCTCCTTCACCGTCTCTCTGGGCAGTTTTTGGGCTGGGTTGACTGGGACCTGCTCAGCCTTGGATGTGGGACTTTGCTGAGCATCCTGTCATGAGGAAAACATCCATCCCGGCTGGGCACCGGGCGAGGCCGTGGGTAATTACCGCGCCGAGCGCTGCCGGCTGTGCCAGCGACGTCTGGGACGTGCAGAGCTGGCGGTGACGGGGTGGATGGGGCTCGAGGGGAGGCAGGGCCAGCTGTAACACCATTCTCTTCCTACCCCTTGGCGTGGGGGTGCCAGCCAGGAGCAGGGGCAGAGTGGGCTCGTGCTGGATGCTGCCTGGGTCTGCAGAGCAGCCTGACCCCAGCACTGCTCTGCGGAGTGGTCCCGGCTCTGGGTGGCCCCAAAGCGAGTGGCATCACTGCATCTTGGTGACAGCAGGGCGTGAACTGGGATGCCCGCATATAGAGACAGTTGCCCAATACTGGACATCCCCACTGGGCCACCTTGGCTTTGTCACTTGGATTAAATGGGCCACCAGGCGTCCCAGGAGCCACCTTGTCTCTGCAGCTGTGGGAAAGTCATTTCGTCTTTCCGTGCCTCGGTTTGCCCATCCGTGGAACGGGGTGAGCAGCCATTACTCACCCCCTGGAACATTTTCGGGTCTCTGCCCAAAGGGCTGCTCACTCTGGCACAGGGTAACCTGTCCCTGGCCACATCAGGTTGACTCAATTGACGTGGCTTGTCACCTGCACTTGCAAAATGGCCCTGGCATGCTTTGGGATTTCACTTCCTTGTGTGCTGCCCCTTTACAGCATCAGGGCCTCTGCAGCATCCTCTGGCAGCCCCTGCCTCATTCTGGGGCTGGGGTCTGTCCCTTCCCAGGGAGGCCCCGCTCAGCTGTGACACTCAGGCAGGACTGTGTCACCAGGGGGGATCGGGGCTCTCTCAGGTTGGGCAGGGCTTTGTCCCTGGTGAGGACAATGTCTCTGTTGTGTGCTGGCTGAGCTGCTCTGCACAGACAATCGGTGCTCACAGGCAGGTGAAGGAGCCGGTTCCCAGCCCGGACACGGGTCTGTGGGCACCTGGGAGCGATGGTGAGGGTGGGCAGCTGAGCTCAGCTGGGGGGGATGATCAGCTGCTGAGGCAGCTCCAGATTCTGAGCCCATGTCCTTGTGCTCCTCCGAGGCACAGCCGGGACCTGGTCCGGTTACAACACCCAGGTGTCACCCGGCTTCCGCTCTCCCTCCCACTCCGAAACTGCGGCTGACTGCTGGCTGCTTTCCCTGCTTCCCTCCCCATTGCCCACGGATCCTGAGCCTCCAGCCCAGCCCAGATCACCTTTCCCCTGGTGATTGTCCCCTGCTGCCATGGAGCCGGGGGCCTTCCCTCTGCAGCAGGGAACCGAGCTGCAGGTCAGTGCACGTGGCAGCTCACGGTGCAAAGGGGATGGGCATCTCAGCGCTGCTGTCTGTGGTTCAGGTGCTTTGCCCGGCTTTTCTCAGAGCCTCAGAGCAGGGAGAAGGAGTGATGTGGTGTTTGCACTCCTGACACATTTAG